GTTGACTTCGCAGCCTGCACATCTAGGCAGACTTAGTCCCCCCCCCCCGTAACTGTATTGAGAATGCAATTTTAATGGTCAAATCAAATTTTATCCACTGTTAATTTGGCCATGCTTCACGAAGCCAACAGAAGTGATTTTACGATGGCATAAATATCTTAAATTTTGAAGATCATATAAATTCCTGAAAATACTGTACTTAACTGAATAATACAACAATGAAATGTAAGATTTCAGTCAAATGCAATATTTCATGATTAGGCCTATAGTACTGTACAGGAAAATAAGTCTGTATTTCTGTATCTACTTTGTACTTATTTACTTTAAGTAGTTTAATTTAAGTTTAATTGTTAAGTTATTATAAGAAGGGGGCCTTCAAATTTTGTGCTTGTGCTTTTTATATTTTTTTTAAATGTAACTTCTTTCTGTAAATTTGTCGGTCTTGAACGCACCGTCAATTGACGAGTGCCACTGTAACAAAAGTGTAAGTTCAATAAATTATTATTATTATGATAAACTACAATCTTACAGTAGGACAAGGCCTAGCTGATCACGATTGCATCATGGAGATGGCAGTACCGGCCTAATCAACCACTAGCAAAGCATACAATATATGCAGACCCTACTACTACAGGTAGCTACGTAGAACAATCATAACATAGGCCTAGATAAAAACATTTTGATTAAGGCTACCTACAGCACCTGCAGTAGGTCTACCTAGCCTAGGCCTGGAACCTAGGCCCTAGACTTAATTTAAAATTGAATTTGCACATTAAATTAGGCCTATTAATTAGGCCTAGCTTACAATCTTTAATATTCAACCAAGACTATCAAGACACAAGCTAAACACACCATCACAAGCAGGATTCTTTATCTGGTCAGCCTAGGCTAAGCCTATCGCCACCGTTCGCATCATTGGTGTCCCGCAGCCCAAATGATGTACGCAACGTCAAATAAATTACAGCTCAATATAAATTATCTACATTTATAAAGCTCATGAAACAACAACAGTTGAAGGATTAGAAAAGGATCTAAATTTATTGTCTTTTACAAAAATATTGTACGTTTTATAAGCAAATATTACCAACAACGTATTAACAAAGCAAGCGTAAACTGTAAGGAAGTCCAATACAACAACAAAACGATTCGCCTAGGCTTGGATATGAAATCTTTCAGAAATCGGAGGTGGAAAGCAAAAAATAACCAATACAAACCCTTGCTCGTTCGTTCGGGCGACAACTTAAAAACCAATATAAACTTCTATAGTTCTCACAAATAACCACAATAATCCGATTTCAGTTGATATTTACTTTGAATTAGGATGATTTCAACCTAACTTAATTCGTTTGGGTCTAACTAAGATGGCGACCAATTTCGTGCAACATCCCTTAATCCCACAATGCCTTTAAACTGTAGCGGACGCTATTGTACTTGTGCTGAAACTGTTCAGTTTTATTCCAACCTCAATACACCTGTCTGCCAGAAAAAGTCGGAAAACGCCTCAAAATAATAGCTCCTTAAAAAGTTTCAAATACTTTATTAAACTCCAGCTACAACTAGATGGGAAAAATCACTGATACGTTTTTCTACAAAAATTCTTAACTTCTCCTCCCTGGCATTTTTTATCTTCTTTTATTAATAAAAATATATTGAAACCAAATGCAAAAAAAAATCAAAAAAAAAAAAAAAAAAAAAATCAGAAAACTAATGCAGGGGTTTTTTTTTAAACTGTCCGTTAATTTTCGGGATTTATAAAAGTAGGCCTCAAAGTAATTTAAATGAAATCGATTTTCATTTTTATTAGTCATAACGGACAACAGTGCAAGCCGTAACGCGACACACTCCCAACCCCCCAATCCACATACACACATTTTTGGTTATCACATAGGCCTATATTGTTTTTTTTTTTTGTTGTTTTTTTTTATTATTTATTTTTTAAGAGTAGGTTCCACATCCTTAAAATTTAAAATTGTTCTTTGTAGGATAATTACAATTTTAATTTTAAACATAATTAAATTTAAATTTTTATTTTTATGGATGGATCGATCTTTCAACTAAAGACGGAGCTTGTCTTCCTGGCCCCCTGCATTAATTTATTTTATTTTCCTGGGCCTTGTCGATCATGCAACAGTGCAGAGCGGTTATTTTTATTGCCGTTTCCTAATCTGTAATATTACGGTCTACACAATTTGAGCCATATTTAAGCCATAAACACTCTCCCCGTGTACCTACCAGGGAATTTTGTTCCGGAAGCCTGACTGACTCTGACGTAGTCGGCCCCCTCTGAGAACACCCTGTCGGACATGTCGGCCTCCTTTTGGGAAAATTGGCAACACAAAACGTTCTTATAAGGTAGGCCTATGTCACAAAATAACGTTCACACGACGTTGCAGAAACGTGTAAACGTTATATATCGGGCCTATAGTTGAAAAAATACGTTGTACGTACGTATTTATTATTGGGTTGTTGGGTTTTTTTTTTCAATGATCTACGTATTTATTGTTTTACAAAATTAATTTTTTCAACACCAACCATGTAACTTTATTATAACGTTATATTAGCTGTGGTATTATAATTTTCTACAGGTTGATATGCCATGAATTAAATTTGATCTGATCTTGTATCTTCTATCATCTCTCTCACGTACTGTTACTTAGTTACGTCACAGTATACTTTTTACCGAAAAAACTTTGTCACAATATATCACACTTGGTGGGTGGTGATTTTTGTTCCCCCACGACCCGGTACTGTAACATTGTTATTGCGAGCCTGGTCGACCGATCACAAAGAGAGCAATTATTCATTGGCGGACCTGAGTGCTGACTCCCACCCCCCTCCCCCCCTTGGAAAAAAATATGTAAAAAGGCCTATTTACTGTAATTTGGTGTTCATCGATTTATTGAAAAAAAGAATATGTATGCAGCGACTCAATTTTTGTTATGTGTTGTACATACGCACATAGTAGGGCTACTGTATTAATAAAAATTAGAAGTTTACCTGACCGTTTTCAAGCGGAGGAAAACCTTAAAGACACCACAAATGTCGGGAAAGCTCATTTCCTGCCATTGATCAAATTTTTCCCGGGGAGGGCCCCCGGACTCCCCGCCCCTTCCTCTTTGGGGTTGTCCATTTATGAAAAAAAAAAAAAGACCACGTAAGCAACTCAATTCTTTATGTACGTATACACACATAAATAGGCCTATTTACTGTAATAAGAATGAGAAATAATAGAAATAATAGAGGAGCAACATGCAATCAAATATAAAAGGTCTAAAACAAAAGACAAGTAATAAAAACAATGGAGGTAGGGCCTAATAACAATGAAATAAGCAGAAGGGTGGAACAAAACAATGAGTGAATCATTCCCTGTAGTGGGCAAGAAAGCCATAGCCTTTGTTTAAACCCAAGTTTACACAGTCAAGTTGCTTAATTATTTTCTGTTCACAAATTTCCCTATCTAGATTGCTCTTAAAATTACCCTTCTTTTTAACTACAGCAACTCTAAGATTATTGATAGTGTGACCTGTGGAAGTGATAATAATTTTCGATTTTTTATTATTATTACTGTATTATTATTATTATTATTATTACTATTTATTAGTCTTAGTAATTTAAAAAGTTATTGTTATTGGTATTTTCTCATATTATTATTATTATTATTATTGCTGTTGTCGTCACCTTTATTATCGATATTATTACCCTATAAGTAGGCCTAGTATTATAAGTATTATTATTATTATTATTATTATTATTATTATTATTACTAATTAGTATTACTATTATTATAAAAATAAACATTATCTTTAATTTTATTATTGCATTATTGCTATTATCACCTTCAATAACGTTATTATCACTAATTAGTTATTAAAATTGATACTTAAATATCGTTATTATTACCATACTAGTATTATTACTATTAGTATTGTTATAATAAATATTACTATTAATGTTGTTGTTGTTGTCACCTTTATTATCGATATTATTACCCTATAAGTAGGCCTAGTATTATAAGTATCATTATTATTATTACTAATTAGTATTACTGTTATTATAAAAATAAACATTTTTAATTTATTATTGTATTATTGCTATTATCACCTTCAATATCGTTATTATCACTAGTTAGTTATTAAAATTGATATTTAAATATCATTATTATTACCATACTAATATTATTACTATTAGTATTGTTAAAATAAATATTACTATTAATGTTGTTGTTGTTCACCTTCATTATCGTCATGACTAATTAGTATTATTAAAGTAAATATTACTAATTTATTTTCGTTATTGTTGTTTAATATTATTGTTGAAGACGAACACATTAATAAGTAACTCTCTTTAATTCATAGACAATAGCATTCAAATCTCTTTTGGTAGTGTGGGGGTCCTGTTTTACTAAAATATACTGTGTACTTTATTTCAATCATATATTGAAGAAAAAGGATGCAAAAACTGAGATTTACATTAAATAACTTGTGGCCGAGTTGGCTGTAGCCGAACTTTTTGTGGCCGAGTTGACGTGCACCCGTTTCTTAGGTACGTATAAGCCCACTTCGTTTATAAGCCCATCCATACATTACACCCAATTTTATATACAAGCCTTTCCTCAGGCAAAAGCCCAGTTTCTGATTTGAAAGAGTAGCTCAGACGACTTTTACAAATACAGTACTTTCCAGTAAAAAAAATCTCAAGATTGGATTTGAATTGGCATGCAGCGCTAAAAAATTGCCTTTTGGTTGGCCATCCCTGAAAATGATTGGACATACTGCCGCCAGTTTTTATCATCAATCATCTTCACATTATCATCAATTTTCTTGTGGGAAAAAAAGATTCCCTGAGGGTATATAAGACCCACCCCCGAAATTGGCTCAATTTTATTTTCAAAGGGGGTGGGATTATACCAGAGGAAATTTGGTAAGTGCCTCTGTACTCTGACCAAATAAACGTGTTATTGAATAGACAGGGTGAAGAATACAAACACAAGTTAAAAAAAGTATGTTATGGTGGGGTTTAACTAAACAATCATTTATTATATGCAATTCACTCAGCAAACAAATGTCAGCACATCATATGTGGCACGATCCATTTTTCTGATTATATAATCTAAAACCAATTACATTACAGTAGGTGATTTACAATCTATGCAATACCATAAATGCTTGAATAAGCGCAGCAACGCTTATACAACTTTTGGAGGCTTCAGAGCGGTGTTTATAAAATATTGGCGTGGTGCTTTTTCATACCTGTTCCCATGATACTTATCTCACATATTCTGGTAGTTCAGTAGTCATAGGTCGTACGTCATTGAAAATAAATGTTTATAAAGAAATGCTTGTGTCTTCATTGAGTTACTTATTCATTTGAACGCTGTATACATTGTATTTAAAACCCTGTTTCTCAAAGTGTTTCATTAGTGGAGTTGAATAGCTTAGTGGTTAAGATGGTTGCCTTGTATACCCAGGGTCCAGGGTTCAATTCCTGCTACAGCAGGACTTTTTCCTCACGACTAAAAACAACTCCACTCCCAAAGCCTCAAAAAGAAACTTCACTGATAAAAGACATCACACTAATTAATTTCTTTAAAGAGGGCCCCTGAATGTCAGCCGACTTTCTAGCATACGCTGGAAGGGTCATCCTCTATAAATATGGTAAAAAGAAAAAAAAAAACACATTCTTCACATATACATTATTGATTAAGCGCTGCGGTGCTTATGCGAGAGTGGCACTTGGCAAAAAAAAATCAGGTTTGGTGCGGCGCTTATTCGAGCATTTACGGTAACCAGAAATTACAAACAATAGAAATTGTGTTCTGCAATCTCTCTAAATAGTGTTAGTCTTATTCAGTGTTAGCATATTCAGTAACAATACATTGTAAAAAAAGGCAATACTATATAAACTGACAATAATAGCAATGCATTATCTTTGCATTTTCTTTAAAAATATGGTACACCAGACCTAGTTCTACTTTTCAATTATTCAATATACAACTACTGTATCTTTTTCATTAACATGGACTCAGGGACTGCTACAAAATGGTAGGTTGGCAATGTTTCACCTGTTGATTCCAAGTTTGCATGACACTAGTAATTCTTATTACTTAATGTTGCTAATTGAGGCATCCATCATCCAATGACTTAATCCTGTTTGTACAGTCTTCCTTTAATAGCAAGTCTGTAAAGTGCTGGTCATTAAATTTAATTATTGTATAACACTACGGTAAATATATTGACTAAGATGGCTACCCACACTAATCATAAAAATCATATGTACAAATATTTGTTTTATTTTATTCTCTATCCACATGAAGTCAACAATTTTGTATCTTATTGTTTCATTTATTTCGGTTTCAATTGTAAGAGTTTCATCAACAATTCGATCACTGACATTGGATCCTCCACCGATCTACCTGGTTTACCCGTCAAATCCCAATCGGGTGAGAATTGCTTTCGTTTACAAGGCGTGTTGAAAATGAAAGAAGATGCAAATGAACTATTGCTGATGGTTAGAGCAGAAGCATTCAAACTGCGGTTTTTGGCGATGTTTCGCTGCACTGCTAGTTTGTGTTTTCTACTAGTCAGTAGGTGAATGCTCTGAATCTTCTCTGCAACTCTTGGCTGACGTCGGATGTCCTGATGAAAAAAAAATAACGGTGAAATTTCAAGCTTAGCTCAAACAATGTATATAATGAAAAAAGAAAATCGAATCAGTGGTAAAGAATAGCAGCGCATACTAAGATGCGCATTGAAAACGTTCTACGAACCGAATTTGGTGTGAATCTACCTTTATTACCCTCACAAAATATGATAAAAATGTTATAAAAATAAATAATGAAACCTTTGTAGTATGAGATGGTTACTTGAATTGATTACCTACCTGAGCATACTGAGGATTGTGGCAAAACACTGCAAGTAGATTGCAAATGCTGACAAAGAGCTTGGACTTCTCACGGTACATCTGAATCAGCTCAACCAAGAAGCCAATACAATCTGGTATTTCATACACCGCTTCACAGGTCTTGTTGTACTGCAGAACAAAAAAACAAAAAAATGTAAGAGTCCTGAAATCTGAGTCAATCATTCATTTTTATTTATTGGAACAACATTTTTTAAAATATATACAGTACAAAATCTTGTTTGTAGCCTTTGACACATAATCACATCAGTTTAAAATGTCAATGAGTATTAAATGATATGACACACATTTCTTTATTGTTTTGATTATTTTGATGATTCCCTTTTATAAAATAATGAAAGAAGAGTATAGTTTGTTGTAAAATAAAATCAATAAATTCAGGCTTCAAAAACGAGCATTCTCCACAGCCCTGGCCTAAACAAACTGTGTACTTCTTTACATATAATAGCAAGTAATATGCAACACAAGAAGTTACTAATTATATCAATGTTGATTATACAGTAGGCCCTACAGTAAATCAATGTTTTCATTATAATATTATTATGATGAATTGATGTCCAGAATTGAGAAATGTAGAATGAAGACTGTCCTTCCAAGTCCTACTATTTCGGTAATCCTATCCTACACGCATTCGAATTTTGACCTACCTACCTAGCCTAACCTATGCCTCTACTATGCCTAAGTATTATTTCGGGTCTATTTAGGCTGGTGGGCTAATTCCCTAATGGCCTAAAAATCGCTACACAGGCAGCATCTCTGGGACAGTTGGGAAACGGGCGTGTCATACAGATGCGCTTCACTATTGGTCAAGCATCATGCTGTATGCCATCAATGTTATCTTCTTCTATTCTTACAAGAGCATTTGAAATTGCATGACCAACAAATTCTTAACTCTTCCTCTACACAATGGTGCTCTACAGAAAATTATTAACAATCTCCACTGTTTAACCTTTCATCAAGTTTGGAATTACTAGACAGTTTGCTTACCTAGATTTCGCAAAGCCTCAAGGATGTGCGACACTTGCTTGTACCTCATTATATAATCAAGCGCTATTTCAGTACGATTGCAAAGTTTCTTTTCCTCAGTTGCTTCCTTGTTAGCAGCTATACATCGTCCACGAATCAACTTTAGCTTCTTGCTCTTCATTTTCTTTCGGACACAATAACCACGCCATATGGTCTGTAGATATAAAAACTTATGTTACGGCATTTCCTTTTCGGTTATAAAATTACTTTCTCATGTTGAGAGGTAGTTAATTCACTAATATTATTAAAGTATCGCTACAAAATAATGACACTAATACCAGTGAATTTACCTGAATATAAAGAGCTGCCATATTTATGTTCTTGATTTGTTTTTTTAGTAGGTACATTCTTATGTAAGACTGCAAGATAATAGCAGCTTTACAACGTCTTTGCTGATGTGCACGTACTGCTTTCTGAAGGGCCACCATGCCTCTACGCAACTTCAAATAATGAATACGCTGTAATCTTGATTTCATCCACCTCTGTCAAAAAAAGAATGTGTACAATTATAAGAAAACTGATGTCAGATAGAGCAAGGCAAAGAGGTGGTAATCCAAGTACATTTAGCTACTAAGATTGTGTTTTATCTGGGAGGACTGTAATGCAACTTAATGAAACATTAAATACTCCCACGATGACCCAAGATTGTGGCATAGGGCCATGGTGAATGACGCTGTCTCAGTTGGCCTTAAGGTAACTTCTATATTCACCAAAATAATATTGTTAACATGGTATACCATCAGGATTTGATTGTGAAGAAACCTTTGTAAATACTGTATCCTCTAAACATAAGAAAATTCAGACAGCAGCATATCCAGGCACTCCATGCAGCCCACTTCAATGGCTGATACGATTCTAAGGAGAATGCAATGCAACAACACACAAGCAACAAATAATTTTTAATGACGATCCATTCAGACTACCACTGACATCAGCATACAGTGTCACATCGTCTAGTGCTTGCAGGTATCAGAGTTGGGTTCGTCGTCCGACAGTGGTACAACTGCCGTAACAACGCAGTGTGCCCAGCTTTATACAGTACAGGTACAAGAAAATGAATTTACCTGAATGGTGATTAGAGAATGCAGTCTTTGTCTGGCAAGTTTCAGAGCTCTGAAACACCTGTATCTCCTCTGTAGACGAATAGCTGCCAAGTTAATATATACAGCAGCTGCAAAACGGTGAATACATGCTTCCCTGAGTTTCTCTGCTTCCTGCAATATGAAAATTTTAACAAATATTTTTCTGAATAATAATTTTCTGAATCAACAGATAAAAAGTAAATGGAATTGAGTTTTTACCTAAAAATACCAAATCTGTAGCTTTACAACAAAACTGTGAATGATACAGTAATACTCCCAAAAAAAGTTACACTAAAGTGACAAAAATTATATTAATTAATAACTATAAAATATCAATTGATGGGTAAGCATGTAAATAGGGTAAATAATATTATTTCCGTATTACAATTTTAATTACAGTAATTCAATAATTAATCTGTAAAACATAGAGACTGACCTTGATACGCTTCAAAGCAATATAGTTCTTAAATGTTTTCTGCAAATATGATGCAGCTCTATGTTGCTTCAAGGTCATTTTGAACTGTTTCCTTGCTTGCCAACCTCTAGTAAGAGCTTGTAAGTGGATGACATTACAGCGAAATCCTAGCCAGAATTTTCTCGCAACATACATTCGGAACCATGCTTGGATGCATGTTGCAGCATGCTGACGACAGAGATCTTTACGTATTTGCCGACCACGAAATACAGCCTGAAGTTTTGTGAAACCACTTAGCATGCACTTATATCTATTATGGCATTCTCTTGATACTAGCAATGATTTGTAACGCTGTTGAATCACTTGTGCTGCAGCTTTCATCTTCAAAAAGTTTTTCCGTGTCTGCCAGCATCTGAAATATCCTTGAATTCGCATAGCTGAAGTTTGTAACTGAATAAACCTCTGTCGCTGTTTGTAGCATCTGTAAAAAGCCTGTATGGTGACTGCTGCCTTCATCCTCTTCTCCAATTTCCTGCATGCATACCGCCTGTAGGTACGTTGTATAGTTATGGCTGACAACTTTTTTAGACGATATATTCTGCGTTGCACCTTTCCTTTCCTGTAAGCCCTGAAGTATAGCTGAAGACAGGCTACAGCATTTCTCATGTCTTGATATCGTTTCTGCTGAATGTATTTTCGAGTTGCAGCCTGTAGTTTAAAAGTAGCCTTTAATATTGATTGATACTGTTTACGCACAATATAACCTCTAAAAGCTGCCTGAATAACAATTGTTGCTCCACGTTTATAATGATAGTCTATATAATCCTGACGGCATTTCACCAAAGATCTGTATTTTCCTTGAAGGTAAATGACACTCTGCTTAAGCTGAAGGAACTGCTTTCTTACTCTCTTGCACCTTATGTTAGTTTGCATTGAAACAACACAAGATTTAAGTTTTAAATAGTGTTTTCTTTCCCTGTTGCACCTAAAAAGAGCCTGCATCTTTATAGTGGCAACTCTCGTGCATTGATAATTCCTCTGTGCGGTTCTCATGACTTTCCACGACCTGTATTGAGTCTGTAGAACACTCACAGCATTCTTAACTTTTATGAAATGCTGTCTGGAACGATAACATCGGAAATATGCCTGCAAAAGAATAACAGAGCTGTGTAACTTCTGGAAACATTTTCGTTGTTTATACATCCTATAATAGGACTGGATAACTGTTGCTGACTTTTGACGCTTAGTAATCTGAGCTGCTATATATCGTCGAACCATTTTTTGAAGGTAACATGTCGCACTTTTGATATGCAGAAACATTTTACGTTGTTTTTGACCTGCTATGACAGCTCTCCAGCGTGTCTGGATCACTGCTGTCGACTTCTGTATCTCTTTGTACCTGGTAACTTGTCTATGGCATCTGTATGCAGCTTGTATACAACAAGCAGCGTAATTTAATTTTTTCATTTGTGAACGTACAAGAAAACCTCGAATTTGAGACTGAAGTACAATGCATGCTCCTCTCTTATATTGAAACACAAATCTGTCATATTCTCCCTTCACCTTAGCTCTGTAACGCCTTTGCATTGACAAAACAGCACTACGATATCTCAGGTATTTTTTGCGCTGTATAAAGCCACGTACATATGCTTGGATTCTGATCGCACTTTTCAGTTTTAGCTGATAATTTCTTGAAACGATATGCCTCCTGAAACATGCCTGAAGCTGTACAGCTGCATTCTTTTTCTTTTGGAAAGAAGCGAAACAAATGTCTCTCATCATCTTAGCCCGATAGTACACCTGTAGAGTTAATGCAGCTCGTTTCAGTTGATTGTATCTTTTTTGAGCAACCCATTTTCTCACAACAGACTGAATCAAAATGGCAGCTTTCTTTTGCTCTTTGAAAAGCATTCTGCTATGATAACCTCTGTAGAAAGACTGGATCAATATTGCAGCTTTCTTCTTCTCTTGGTACACCCTCCTGTTCTGATAACCTCTGTAGAAAGACTGGATCAAGAGGGCAGCTTTCTTCTTCTTATGAAACACCCTCCTGCTATGATTACCTCTGTAAACAGACTGGATCAATATAGCTGCTTTCTTCTTTTCTTGAAAATCTTTCCAGCTCTGATAACCTCTGTAAACAGATTGAATCATGATGGCTGCTTTTTTCTTCTCCAGAAACAACTTTTGTTTCTGATAACCTCTGAAATTAGACTGGATTAAGGTGGCTGCTTTCTTTTTCTTTAGGAACACCTTCCTGCACTGATGACTTTTATATACAGATTGGATCAAGATGGCTGCATTTTTCTTCATTTGGAACACCTTCCTATTTTGATACCCTCTGTAGACTAACTGAATTAAGATGGCTGCTTTTTTCTTTGCTTGGAAAAACTTTTGGATTTGATATCCCCGGTAAACAGATTGGATCATGGTCACTGCTTTCTTCTTCTCTAGAAACACCTTCCTGCTCTGATAGCCACGGTAAGCAGACTGAATAAAGATGGCTGCTTTTTTCTTCTCCTGAAAACTTGTCTTGTTGCGGTAGCCTCTGTATGCAGACTGAATCAAGATGGCCGCTTTTTTCTTATGCTGAAACATCTTCTTGTTCTGATAACCTCGGTATATAGATTGGATTATGATGGCTGCATTCGTCTTTGCCTGAAAGAGCTTCCTGCTCTGATAACCTCTGTAGACTGACTGAATCTTGATAGTTGCACTTATTGTTTTTTTGTATGCAATACGCTGCCTTCTACCCATAATGAATGCTCTCCATTTTCTCTGCAATGTTTTTGTTGCCATACATAACATCACATAAGAGGACCTAGCTTTATAGGTCCTGTAGCAATTTTGAATGTACACAGCAGCTCTGTTACGTTCCATCATCTGCTTTCTTAAGATATAACCCCTGAAAGTTGACTGGATAACAATGATGGCCTTCTTCTTTTGCTGATAATTTTGAAATATTTTGTACGCAAGCTGATAGCTACGCCATGCTGTTTGAATGATTACAGCTGCATTTTTCAATTTGAAGAACCGGTTCTGTTGTTGCTTACAACGAATGCAAGACTGAAGTTTTATGACAGATTCCTGGACTTTGAGGTAGTTACGTTTTACAACTAACCCTCGGTATGAAGCCTGAATCACAATAGCTGCCTGCCTTTTCTGTTGATATACAGTTCGGCAATCTTTGGCTTTTTTGTTGTTACGGAAATTTCTCTGTAGAAATAGAGTTGTTGATCTCAGATTTTGGTAAGATGTTTGATAGGAATACCTTCTAAAATAGCTTTGTATCTTTACAGCAGCTTCTTTCTGTCGAAGAAATTTATTACGAACAACAGTCATTTTGAAAAATGCCTGCAACTTGATAGCAGCTTTTAGATTATTGATTTGTCTTCTAGCCAATATTGCTCTAAAAATAGCCTGCATTTTAACTGCTGCTGACTTCAGCTTATTGTAGTCATGTCTAACGGAGCATCCCTGGGAATAAGCTCTGAATTGACACTGTATAGTGAGTGCTGCCTGTCGTCGTTCAAGAAATTCCTTTCGGATTTTCTTCATTCTAACCAATGACTGCATGCTGATTATTTTTCTTCTCAGATTTTTATAGTTTTTTCGGCAGAGGTATGATCTAAAAGCAGCTTGGATAGTTATACATGCTCCCCTGGTTATACCGTATATCATCTGCTGGATCAGCATCTTCTTATTGGCATGGTAGCGTCTTTGAACAACAAGTGCAGCTGATTTAAGTTTCCTAAAATATGTGCGTGCTCTATATCCTCTGAATAGAGCCTGGATCTTTATAGCAGCCTTTAAGATCTCTACATAACTAGATTTAGCCTTATATGCTCTCCATGCAGCTTGGATTATTCGGGCAGCTTTGACACGTTTAGTGAACTTTCGAGCTAGATTTCCTCTAATGGCAGCCTGAAGGTTAACGACTGCTGTCCTGTACAAAATATACCTCTGTCTTGTTTGCCTGGCACATTGTAATGACCTGTATCTGGTCTGCACAACCACAGCTGCTTTTCTCATACTGTTGAAGTGTTTTCTTGCCTGGTATCCTTTTACAGCTGCCTGCAGTAATACTGATGCCTGTCTTAGTTGCACAAAATGTTTCCTTGTACGGTAACATCGGAACCAGTGCTGTAGTAAAGAAAATTATATATTGATAATGGTTTTCAAGTACCATCAAGTAAAAAAAAAAATGTCAATATCTTAATGAAAATATATCATGATTTACTTTCAATTGTAAATAGCTTTAAAAAAAAATTACAAATTATAGATCTAAATTGTTTTTTCATTTTTATACTGTAGCAGATTTTCCCTTTCTGTAAAAGTTATTTTCCTTGTTGTTAATATGTATAGAAATGTTTTCCTCCTTGGGAGTCCATTTAGCCACTTTAATAGGCACATGCAAAACCAAGACCACAGATCTACTGTACCATATATCTTTGGGGGAGGCTAAATAAAATGCATTTACCTGCAGGATCTTGGCAGCCTCTTCTTTTTCTTTCATCAGTTGTGCTTGTCTTAAATTGCACAATGTTTTCTTTGCTAGAATACATCGGTACCAGGTCTGAATCTTAACTACAGCCTCAGCTGTTTTCTTGTTCTGTACATTTCTGAGGTATCTGCGTGCAGCTCTCTGTATAACCACAACTGAAGTCTCTTTTAACTATATCAAAATATAAAATTCAAGAGTATCCTGGTCATTTGGAGGGTTTTAATAATTATTGGAAAAAGTTTAGAAACTGGCTTTGGATTCCAAAAGGTCCACTGATTAATCTCAGATAAGATAGTGTCGGGATTCAATATTTCGACATTAATTATGTTATCATCAGGAATGGCTTTGGATTATTGACAACATTTTTGGGCCATCTAAACAAATTATACATGACCTCTTGACCTAAAGGACAAGTCATCATGAAATGTAAGCATTCACCTATTTCTTATGATTGGAAATATGGCATTAAGTTAAAGGTGTGCAATGTTGATTCTGTGACAATTTTTAAAATTGGGTCTTAGTTAAAAAAAACCCCACATTTAGTTAGTAATTTGCATTGTTCAGAAAGTGAAATAACAGCTAAAGCAAGTGAAGGTTCACAAGAGCTGTTATTAGCTAGTACAATATAATGTTATAATTATGCATAGAATCAAAACATGTACTAACTTTGCTAAGACGAACAGATTTTCGAATTTTGTACAATCTCCATGCAGACTGGATAACACGAGCCGAGCAAGACTCATGATGAAGATCCAGCAGACGGACACACAGGTATGTTACGTATGTGATCACAACCTGAAATCACCAAAAAACAAATGTTATTCAATTTCATATAAAAACAAGGCAAAGTGAAAACGAAGTCAATCAAAACAATTTAACATGTTTTGCTTTAGCACCCTCCACATTTTTGTTACAAATCTTTACCCATTCAAATGAGCTTGTGGTGGGACTACATCAGCAGCTTGGTGGTGAAGAAGCTCGCCCTCTAGAACCCTGTGTTTAAATTACTCAGACACCAGAGTTGTTTAGTTTCTCAAAATAAAAAAATAAAACCCACAAAAAACTACTTCTCCCTGAGCTTTGAAATGGGACTAAAAACTGCACACACTATTAAATGTTTGACTGACAAGGTGTATCTCATCAAACAAGTCAATTGTCAGCACTACATCTGTTGGAATCCTGACTGACACATTAATGTGAGTGTACACATGAAATTTAATTGCTCATTGAGAATATGTTTAGAAATATGGTTACTCTTTCTAAACTTACCTTCTCATCAGGTATTGTGTTAGTCATGTCTTTGCACTTAATCATCAATGGCACACCTCCAAGTTCCTTTACTTTATCAAAAAGCAGTTTATAGTTGGCTCTTTCATTTTCCAACAGCTTCTCAAAGTCACTATTTTGATCAGTACCTATCATGAAAAATAGGAAATGAGAAAATAGTACACAATGTACTTTTCAAAATCTTATTCAACATCAACATTAATACTTTTTTGCAATAGGTATTCAAATATCCTTTTAACAGATACAGCATACAATATAATAAAGATATTACTTGGGTTGAATGTATTTTTCCATGTACCATCAAAGCTATCATCACCATCCGACTGATGTCCAGATTGTTGCCACTGTTGTTGCGTTGTAGCTTGCTGGACTTTATCAAATGGCAGTAATGTAGGATTGTAATGGTGTACAAGGTAACATAATGCACGCCCATCAGAAAATGATACAGTGAAATTATCTATCTGTAAATTAAAAAACAAAAACAGTATAAATGGAAAGTTAAGATATTAAACAGCTACATTTACTTTCTTTTTCTTGCAAAAAATGCAAAATGTCAGCTTTAGTAAAAACATTTAAAATGGTTTTGTAGTCGAGGAAACACACACTATCTACTCACTTAAATTAAACATAACTTTAATGGAAAAGAAGGTACTAAAAACAACCATAGTAAAACAGTTTTAATTCGAGAAATTATGATGTACATTTATGATGTACTCTCACTATGAAAATAGCAAAAAAGTGTCAAAATGTTGGCGGTGCTATTGATATTTCAGACTTCCTTTTTTTTCTAGGCTGTGAGGTATGAGGGGGTGGGTCCAGATTATTTATAGGATGAATGAAGTAAGTACAAATGAAAGGTTGATTGAAATAAGTTTAAATGACTTGGGGAACATTTTTTTTGTCTTCCTCCTGATTCCTGATTTAAAAACCAACAATAATATCAGCCTAAAAATTATTCTCATGAATGACCCTCCCCTACCCCTAAAGAAGATAAAAGCTGCTGGCTATTTACACTTTTTTTTTGCCAGCTAAAAAAAGGACTCTAGAGGGGTGGACCCACAGATGTCCGAAAGGAGGAGCTCTGCTGCTCTTTTCACTGTACTGCACCAACATAATTTGAATAATGAATTCTCACATGTGTTGCTTTTGTAGTGTGACAAGTCCTCGACCAACATTTTGTGGACTTGTGTTTAATATTGTAAATTTTTTTTTTTAATGATATTTTAATAGACATAAATAAGAACTCAAAATATGCCAATAATGGTAAGACATTTAAAAGTATGATGCTACGATATATTTCTTCCAGAGCTGTGCACGTGCCCTGACAGTAAATCGGCACAAACATGTTGTCCTTACTCAAATTAGTATATGATACTACTTTTTTCAACAGTTATTATTGAATACAATGGATGTATGAACCTGTAAAGGGACTCAGTTTACAACTGAAACCTCTAACAATTTCAAACCAAAACAAAAATGCAGATGAGCAGTAAGCTTAATTTAAGCCAAACATTCAGTTACAGGATTCAACATAAAAGCTTTTGCCTGTAGCAATAGCTTGAGAAACCAATATAAGCTAAGAATACAATGTTCTGTAAACGAAGATGAGATAACTAGATATTCCCCTAAAACTGTTTCTATACTTTCAGAAAATGATAATGCATCAAAAGTAGGCTATATATGTTATGATTTGTGCTAGAGAGAATTAGCAAGTTCATCTATTTGTTTGTTAGCTATTAATATATGCTCAATTAGAGAATATAAACATAAACAAATGCAACAAAGAGAACATGTAAGTTTTTTACAATGTACCTGTAGGTTGTATATTGAACACACAGCTTTACACCACTGAAACAATAAGCTCAGTTCCTCATTTTTGAAATTCACATCAGATTCATTCAGATTGGTGACAGGTCTATCAGAACCTCCATGTGACTGTATTGATGCAAGACTGACATGCACAAGCTTGTTCCTCTTGAGAAAAGATATCTCATTTTTCAGTTGTTCTTTGTTGAGAAGTGATCCCACCTGAAAAAAAAACAAAAAACACATGTATACATTAAATATATTAATGCTAGAAAAGAACAAGGGAATTAGTGGTTACTTGCATTTGGACGAAGAACTGTTTGAGTGGAGCACCAACCTGAAGGTGAAAGATGATTGTCCACAGTAACTTCAGAGTTTTTTCTCGATGACCATCAACGATGGCTTTTGGATCCACAGCAGACCCTGCAAGCAACAACAACAAATAAAACCCTTGAAATAGAATGTTATATAGCACAATGAAATAACTAAAAATCATTAATTTTAAATTGGCCTTTTATTTCCAGTTTAAGATGTTTTATAAAAACCTTCAATTGTTGGAAAGTTCTTCTTGATGGCTTTGAAGGCTACTTCCATGTTATGAATCTTCTGTAAACGGCTGATTGCAGGTACGCGAAGTTCATGCAACAACTTCCAATCTCTCAATAAAAGCTCAACAATTCGACTGAAAGATAAAATTACAGTACATTAAATTACATCAGATATTAACATATTTATATATTAAATTTTCAAGAACAGTACACAATAACACACTATAAATATTTCCTAAATCTTGATATAGCTAATATCTGCACAGGAACAGTGGGACTTTAAACCACTCATTTTATAATGACACTAAGCAGAAGCCCACTGGTTTTTGTATAAAGCAATTTATTATGTAACTTGTGTAGAGTTTTTCCAAAGTGGTGAAATAGAAAAGTCTGAATTGGGGTTGCAAGGTTTTGAATTGACACTTTCGTGGAGTGTATCAACCTAATTTTCATAGAATGTATAGGAGTAAGGTTTTTATTGTACTGTATGTAAAGATAGCATTAAATAACTTTTTTAAGTTGAATTAATATAAATGTACTTATAGCATACTTACGCAAGCCTGACACCACATCTTAAGTCTGTTGCAATGTTTGTCACTGCAAAGTCAAACTCATCCAAAGGTGTTTGTTTATGAGTGACACAGTAGCCAAGGAAACTCAGATGTCGGGTCACATCACCTTCACCTTTTAGATATTCCCGGGAAAATGACAAAAGAAGCATACGGCTTGACTGGAAGAAATTGATGGAAAATACCAGTTGTTAGATCCATGAAATGTTCTACAATGCACTCTGACAAAACTAAGAGTACTGTACATATTTTGGAAGAGGGTACACTTTGGAAAGGGAGAGGCACATATTTTAGAAAGGGAAAGGCGTAACCTATGGAAATGGAAGATGTACTTAATCTGAAGAGGGATATTGTACTTTTAAAAGGGAAGGAGTACATATACTGGAAAGGGGAAGGATACACTCTAAATAGAGAGGGGTACACACATTGGAAAGGAGTGGGATACATTATGAAAGGGGTGGATACACTTTGGAAAGGGAATGGTAGACACAGTTACATGTGGAATGGTACACTCTGAAAATAGGGAGTTTTAGTTTTGTACGACGATTCGACACTAGAACGGAATCACTCATGCGTGGCCGTCCTACCTGGCGTCCTACGTTCTCTGCATATGTAGATTTAGCCAAATTACGTTCCAGAATCTACTCGACGAGGTGACCTTAACGTTCTCGCATGCGCAGATGACTTTTAGTGACGTCATCACGTTCTACGTCCTACCGTTGTCGTGCAATCGAAAGCTTCCCATTGAAATGGCATACACTAGAAAGGTGAGGGTTACATTGCAGAGAGTGGCAAACACAAAAGGAACGGGAGGGATACAAACATACTAGAAAGAGAAGAGATAACTTCTAAAAGTGCTCACACAGTAGGAAGAGGAGAAAGGGCAAGTACTAATAATTGTAATTTGCAACAGGTGAAAAAAAAGAATATACATGTACATTACAGTAGCAATCTATCTTGCAGTAGAAACTTTATGTGAAGCTAAAGAAAATGTACAAAAGAAAAAAAAAGTCAATAACATTAGAAGGAAACTAAACTGTACCTTGAACTCTGCATCCTTGCAAAATAGACAAGGATTGTGGTCAATGAGACGGGTTAGCTTGGCACGGTCCAAGAAAAACACCAGCATTAGAAACTTCTTCAAAATAAACTTGTTCAGGCAATCCTCATACCCTATTTTGTAAAGAATAGAAATAAAAAATGCAAGGATATACATCAGCTATCTGCTCAGTATGTGCAGATAAAAAATTTAATTGTTAATGCTATACACCAATGAACAATTTTAATGGACAAAATATAATACAATATTTATATTAAACTAAGTCAAATAAAAACATTCATTCAATATTGATTTGTTTACACCGATTTAATCTGGCCAAGTGTGCTAGCCTCATTCATGGGAGACATCTACACATGAAGTAAGCTAGTGTCGATAAAAATAATATGTACGTTGTTATATAGCGCTTTACACAACTCAAGTCTCAGACACATTTCCACATTGATTAGTTTACCATAGAGAACGCAACATGATGAAGTGCACACAACACATAGTTTTTAATCCACTCACACTGCCACCAGCTTGAAATTTCCTTTGAAAAATTATCAACATGTATTACCTTGCTTAAACAGGGCTGGCACTGTAGGATGGGCATATTGGGCAGCGATATCAGGATTACTCAGCATTCTAGTGACGATGAACCGCGACAAACCAACCATGTCAGCATTGTTCTCAATTGGTAACATTTCTCCATAGATTGTCTGTAATTTAAAGCATCAAAATAATGTGCCAACAAAATTACACAATTTGTTTTAATATTTTTATGCACATCCTCTGGTGCATTTAAATGTCCAGGCTGCAATAGTGATTATATTGGTAAGACAGATAGGTGCTTAATAACCAGACTTAAAGAACATTCTTCACGATCTGATAGTGTTATATTTGATCATGTTAAAAACTGTGAGGCATTCCAATATGTTTTAGGATTACAGGGTATACTTGAAAATGATAATGTCGTCTGTAATGTAAGTAATAAATTAAGTTTAATATTTTCTAGTACTAACATTATTGACAGCTCCCGAAACTGGTCAATCCTATTGTTTAAAGAAGCATTCGCTATGCGTAGATTACACCCTTTATTTAACAATGGGCTCAGAGCTTCAAAAGAGCTTTCTTTGTTTTTGTAAGTATCTTTGATCATTAGAGTAAGAATACTTTGATCTTTTGTTTAAATCACTGCTATGTCACCTACTAGAGGTAATGTTTTGATTGGTTAAACACTTTTGGTACTAGTGCATATAAGCTTGCTAATATGGATAATTTTTTCATTCCTGATGATGACATAATTAATGTAGAAATATTGAATCCCAACACGATGGCGTGTATTTCAATACTTGGAGTATGTATTATACTTATCTGAGATTAATCAGTGGACTTTTCGGTCTCTGGTGATATTTCATTGTAATTTTACCAAATTCAGTTTCCCACAAAAAAAAAAAAAAATGTTTACCAAATTTGTATTAAACGTACCTCAAGGCCAATTCGCAACCACAACGGATTGTAAGATAGCATCATGTTCAGAAAGTTCTGTTTGATACCTTAAAAAAAAAAAAAACGCAAAAGGTCAACAAATAATGTATGTGAGACCAGGGGCGGATTGCTATAAGCGGTCTTTAGACGGTCTTAATGGTTAGCCGGCTATAATCGAGACGTCACTACTGGTCTATGATTATAGACCATTGCTATACCGCGGTCTAACCAGTTAGCCATCTTAAATTTTAAAGCCTACTCGGAGGAGGCTTAAAACGGTCTTAAATCATTTTCATCATGGCATTCTGTTGATTAATTCAACAGTGCAATGGCAAGACCTTGGCCTAGATCGTCAAAGTCGGAGAATCGAATGACGAATATTCCGCATGCTTCTTAGCATCTGTAAAGATAGGTCTATGTTTATTTACGTTCATTTCAATAAATTTGCGTGCATTGAGCACGCATGATGGTGCCCCCAATCTTACGTTACCAGAGAGTGCTTGTTTGCATTTCAATACTCAAAGCGGTCTTAGAGAAGACCGTTTTATAGCAATGGTCTTAGAGGAATGACTTTAGTAAGACCGTCTAAGCGATAAAGTCGGCTTTATTCGAGAAGTTAAGACTACCAGTTAAGACCGTTTTATAGCAATCTGCCCCAGGACTGAAATGGTTACTTGAAAATGAAAATGTTATTACCATATGAATATTGTAGAAATTGAAGTGCACATTTGCCAAAACAGATAAAATTACAATGGTTAAGTTAATTTTTAGTCAGAAAGATAAAAAAATAAGTAACTGGGTCTGGGTTTCTAATCAGACTAAAGTCAGAAGCTGGTGTCACTTGGAGTAATGTGAATTGAACACCAACATTTAATATTACTGTACTGTATTTGGCAAAAAGGGTATGGAGGCAATGTGCAAAATACACTATACTATTACCAAATTACTTTTAACAATAAAAAAATCACTGGAAAAACCAAGAATTTTAATATCAATAAATTATTTATTAATTAATTATTTACCATAATCGGCATGCACATGTTTATCTTTTCGAATTTCCAAACCGCCTCTTTCAACCTCTGACTCAATCTTCTGGATGACCCTTATGACCGGTTCACTCTGGAACAATGAACAAGCTCCACGACGTAGGCTGGACATGCGACGTTTTGCCGAGTACGCTCTTAAAGACAAGACTTCCTTACTTGGTGCACCTGCATTGCAGGTATTACTTGCAGACATGAAAAGCTTGGCAGCATCAACTAGAATAAATTAAGTGGAGAAACTACGATTACAATTCAGTTGCTCTACTGAGCTATGAGGATGAGATTGTATATATTGCACTTTCTGAATAGGACACATTTTCATGTCTGGTCTTCAAATCCTGATTTTTCTCAAAAATGCTTAAAAAAATTTCTTGAAAATACCATCTAACAAGATGGAATAAACAATTGCGTGCCCTATAAACTAAAGCCGACCAACCACTGTGCATGGCGGTAGTCGGCCGAAGCAGTTCCATGGAGAATGCAACGCCACAGCGCGCACGTGCAATGGACCCTTTGTAAGGATCCTTTCAGACTGCTACTGACCATTAGCAGACAGTTGTCGGATCTAAAGCTCACATGGAACAGAGTTAAATTCGTCAGCAAATGGTCATATGACCTTCAAGCGAAGCAGTGAGTGGCTGGCTTACGTCTCAATATGATGTTTAAGGAGATCTAACGGCTTAAATTAAAGTAAGAAAACTACCATGATATACTGTACCTCCTAGGAAATACAACTTAGCAAACAATACCAGTTTTTACTCTACCTTTGGTAGACTTGCACTTGGGATCTGAAGAATAGTCATCTGGAGTCAATATATAGTTCAACCATTTGACAAAACCACATTCTTGTTTCTCAATCCAACGCTCATCATAGAACATATTCTTTGCAGCAAATGGCATTGGATGGCGTGGGATAGCTGAAATATAAAGTTTGATATCAAATGCTAAGCACAAAAACCATTCAAATTTTGAACCAAGTCTAAATTCTAAATGTGCATGCTGTTTCCATTACTTTCAGAAATGCCTGTGAAGCTAATGAATTTAAGTTCATAAAAAAATAAATGAACTAAATAATAAATCTACTATACCTGTTGCCTTGCCCTTGCTCAGCTTTAGATGGGACATTGCGACTCCCTTCATTGCTGTCTTCACTTTATACGACTTTTTATCAGATTTTTTGGGCTTTAATGCTATCTTTTGCCGTGGGATAGACACTTCAGACTTTTTCACTCTCTTTTTACTTTCTGTACTTTCATCCCGTGTCCGCTTGCTCGTTACTTTTGGAGCTATGCTACGTCTCTGCAAAGGAATTACGTTTGATGTATGTGGTGTCTTTGTCGAACTTTTCTTCTTTGAATCTACTTTCATGGAACTGTCTTTTTTGTTGTTTAATGCAATCCATTCCAAAGAACAATGACTTGTTTTTTCATCATCTTGCATTGAGCTAAAGGGTAGCATCCTTGCACTGTTAACACATGATTCAGTTTTACTGCCCACCTGTTTACTTTTAGTAACTGTAGATGATGTAAATCTCAAATCATTATCTTTTACCTGCTCCTCTTGGCAGTCAATTTGTGTAGGGGTTGGTGACCTTTCACACTGAATAGATTCATTAACTCGCATCTCTGAGACCACATAAGTTGTATCTGAATCTGAGACATCGGGTAGGTTAAGTGCAACCGCTGGGGAGCACGGTAGGTCACTCAGGACAACGGTTTCTCTTTTAATGTTGGTCGGAATTGTCAACATTTCAGTTGGTAAGGTGCTGCCATGCTCAAACTCATCATAAAGTGGTGAAATTTCAGCAGATACATCTGCCACAGCAACATGAACTGGTGAGCTTCCAACAGATACATCTGTCACACCAGCATGAATTGGTGAACTTTCAGCAGATACAACTGCCACACCAGCATGAACTGATGAGCTTGCAACACATACATCTGTCACACCAGTATGAACTGATGAACTTTTAGCAGATACACCTACCACACCAGCATGAACTGGTGACCTTCCAACAGGTACCTCTGTCACACCATTAGCTTTCAAGCCTTCATCTTTTTGAAAATTTGCATGAAATTCTGCCTTTATATCAAGATCCAGAGAATTCCTTGTAGAATTTTTGTTTTTTTTACAATCACTTTTCCTCTTCACATAATTGGTTTTGCAGGCAGGGTCAACATTTTCAACCCCAACTTCTTGCCACGGTGGTTTTGATGGCCGAAGTTTTGTTTCATGAACCTTTTTTAATGTTGATCTTTTAGACGGCTGGATTGATCCCAGTGTTCGTCGCTGCTATAAAAAAAAAACAAACAAACAAATTAATTAAAATTGCAACCTTGTATCATTAATCTGATCATTTCTTTTATTGATTGTTTTATGAATATATTGACTCTTTTTGTTGAGCCATTTTTATTTAACTTTACAATTACTGTACATTTAAAAGGTAAAAATAAATAAATTCTAAAAAGATACCTTCTTCAATTTTGCAGGCTTAGCTGTTCCAAGCAATATTATTTGCAGCCGGTGCATTCCTTCAAACTTAAATGTTACAAGTTCTCTAACATTACCATCTTTAATAGGACACCATGTAATTGGCAGGAGCAGATGTCCTTCACCTTGCAATGTCCATTCTCTTTCAGTCACATTAAATCCTTTGTCAAATGGAAACTTCTCAAGGTAGACAGTCTGAATGAAGTCGCATGGATTCTCAATACGAAGATAACGTGTCTTCACCTTCCCAATTAGAACATCATCAAAGCAAAGCATCACCTTTTTAGTGAAGTAAGTCAGTTTCAGAATAGGAACATCTTCTTGTCTCTCTTCCTCCTTGTGGGGTGTTCCGTAAAACCATGACCGACGTGTTCTTCCATTCGGTGTCCCTTGGGTTCCAGGAACAAGGCTACCTAGAGGTGATCTGTACATGGTAGCCATTTTTCAAACTAAAATTTAAAGAACAACATTTGTTAAAACATAAAATACTGCCGAAAATAATTAATTTGAATCATAATAATTGGGCCTAACCTAGCATTTAGTCTTGAACACTATTCTACACAATACAATAGGCCCTAGGCCTACTGTACAAGGCACATTGAGATCTATACCCTATATCAATCCAGCGCTAATACGGTTTCGCATCCAGCCCTGAAAATGGTTACCAAATTATTTACAATTTTTCAACACTATCATGTTCTTTGATGACTGACTTTCATATTAAAGCCACTTATTATTCCACAATTATGGTTTCTAATTAAGTTAATTAACCAATAATTAGGATGGTACTGTATATTGATAGTAACACCCGATCTCTCAACACAATCAACTCTCCTCCGCCGCACCATGGTCGACGACTGCCAAGGTTTCCAGCGTCTGCCATATAATTTGTACCCAATTGTAATTTTTGTGATCAATAATTGCGGAAACGTGTATTGTTTTTTAGTTCGTCTCTTTGTAGTATGTATCTTTCGTAACTTGTATTTTTGTTTTGTATTAACTATTTTGTCTCTTTGTAATATGTATTATTCTTGATGAAGATAAAATAAAAAAGCGAAAAGTAGATTAACATTTTGAGTGACATTCATACTATTTCCACTAGGCACGCTTAACTCAGCGCACACCTATCTGGCAACCACCATATAATTTTGCCCCGATTCTGGCAACACCGCAAAAGTGTTGACGTGTACTACAAAGCCGGGTATGAAAATGGTGCACCGCGAATATGTTAACCGTCTTAATTAACTTAATTAGAAAACCATAATTATTGGATAAAGTGGATTATTGGAAAGTCAAATCATCAAGGAATGTATTAGTATTGAATAATTGTAAGTGTTAAATAATTAGTAATTAATTTTACATTTGGATGCGAAACCGTATTAGCGCTATAAATCACTAGGCCTACATACATAAAAATATACCGTGTATCCAGGGAGTTTTTAACAACTCCCTGGTGTATCCTAGGCCGGCTAGGCTATAAAATCCTGACCTTTTCCAATATTTTGTTTTCTTATCATAAATTTCTTATCTTCATTCAGCTCATTTGATTTTCAAATGAAAATTACCTGCTTCCTCATTTCATGGCTAGGCCTAGCTAGTTCTAATCTAGCCTAGGCCTAGCTAGAAGCCTAGTAGGCTAGGACTAGGCCTATATTATACCTACTGCAATCACTCTTTTCCTAGGCCTAGCCTAGGTTTAGGCTATATATACAGTATATATATATATAGAGTCCTAGATTAGCTGTAGCTTAGCCAGTAGCCTAGATACTGTAGGCTTCGTGGAAGCACTCGCAGAACTCGAGAAAAAAAAGGCAAGACTAGGCCTAGCCTCTGGCCCTACCCTGGCTAGCCTATCCTACCCTAATCAAACCCTGCCACTATAAATGCGTCAAGGCCTAGGCCTACTACTAGGCTAGTATAGTTAACTAGCCTAGGCCAAGATTAGCTAGCGACAATCAAAGGTTTGCTACTATTCCCTAGGCCTAGCCTAGGCCTATATAACTTACGTTCAAAGGTAGGCCTGTATGTATTTAGCCTGCCAAACACAGACTAGGCCTAATAATTTATGGGCCAAAAGCACAAAAAACTTGAATTATAAAGCAACTTTCTGCATCGCATCGGGTAATCTCATGTGTTCGGCGACTGTTTTTGTTAGCCCTCAGAGTTGATTTTTTGAATGTTGTTATAATTTCAATCTAGGCCAATCAGAACGTAGTATTGTACCAGCAACAGCCAATGACAAACACGTTCGGGAAAGTAAATTTAAAATCCGAATGCTGATTTGCGACTATAAAGTAGGATTTCATTTTTTCTAGAGCAGCAGTGGTTCATATCATAGCATATATCATATCATAATTCATATCATATCATATTTCATATCCTTTATTTCCACCATTTAAAATTTTCAAAAACGAATATAAAAGACAAAAAATACGACTTTTACCTGTAGGCATGGTTTGTTTTATAGGCCTGACTAGACTTAATTGTTTACCGATTGTCCATGATCAGTATTATCAATTTTAATCATTTTTGATTTTTTTTAGTTTTAAGTTTTCCTCTGTCTATTTATTTATTTATTTCGGTAAAAATACATAGGACCGAGGCTACATCCTTGACCGGCAAAACTGATGTCACCGCGGTTACAAATAGATAAAAACACCACTAATTATCATTAAATTCTATAAAAATTGTACATTGAATCGCATCCTACGCTTTGAAGAAAGCATTTTACACCCTGTCTCTTATACACAATGACTCAACAAGCAAAGATTAAGAATTAAACCAAAAAAAATTAATTAAAAAAATAATAATAAACATCAAGTTTTGTTAAATTAAATAAAAATTGCTGAAACCAAAATATCAAATTGATCTGAATGTTGTGAACTACGAGTCCTATTGCCACCAATTTAAAGGTGTACAATAATGTTCAAATAAAAAAAATATTATATTTTATAACTCCCTCCTTGGATGGACACGCATTCTGATGAGGAGGAATTTTCAGAGTACCATAGACAATATAAAAACAAGTGTTTAACCTCGTAATCTTGAATCAGAAGCCCACTCATATTGTGCAATAACATTAATTGAAATAATGAAATTGTGAATGGGGTGGGGGAATTTATATGATGTCCCTCCTAGTTTGAATTGGCGGGGGACGTGTCCCACTGTCTCTTGCCGATCGACGCCCATGCCCCTGAATAAACTTTATTTATTTTTTTATTAAACTTTATTTACCGAGGGTAACCCCCCACCCCCCAAAAAAATCATGGGGCTCTCACGTTTGCAGATGATGTTATAATCTACAAATAAAAAACAGAGAAGATTGCTTAGAGCTCCAAAAAGACTTAAACGAAATGTGCAACTGGACACTGCGAAAGGTCCTTAACCCAAAAAAGTGTAACGTCATGACAATAACTTTCAGACAAATAACATTATTTCGTTCCCTCAAAAATTATTTCGTTCTCCCGAAATATTATTTCGTTCTATCGAAATATTTTTTCTAACCATGTCCCTTTAGGGGCTCCGTACCATGCTAAATGTAGACAGTGGAGTAGCTACTGTAGAGGTCACTGGCGCCCAGGGGCAAGAGTTGAATATTCTCCCCCTCACACCCATTATAATTATAATATTTTGAAATAAATTGATATTGGTTGTATAGACCCTAAGCATATCCGTACCGTACGTCCATATCATGCACTGTCTAAATAACATTATTTAAACCCGAATAACTATTATTATCCTTGCTCTCATAGGCCTATGTTCTTTCTTACCAGGGTGGCGCCAGGGGGTTCCTTGACGAGTAGAAAGTGGGCGTGATCGAGCTTCGAGCTATCCCCGAAGGGGGACCTGGCCCCCACCCCTGTTTCTTACTATTAAAACTGCAATGTCCGGAACTTTGTATACAACTTTACCATTAGGCCTATCCTAATTTGTAAGGCTGTTGTATTTATCTAAATGGACTAAAAAGAAATCACATTCTAAATATTTTCCAATAAAAACAACTACATTCAGATTCTTATTATTAACTGGAAAATATTTATGCCCGACGACATACATCAATTTCGTAGTATTTTTCTAAAAAGTGCTTATTTTTTTTACTCTTATTCTCCCATTTCAGCGCCCCCTCAAACCTGGCGCCCGGGGCACGTACCTCCCCCCCCTTTGACCCCGCTAGCTACGCCACTGCAACACTACAAGGTCTTACTATAAGGTTTTACTAATAATCAGAATTAGAATTTTGAAACTCCAGTGGCTTTACTGCGTTGTTTGATAGTCCTAAATCGACGTATGTTGCGAGATTTTCTTTTGTTGCGCGTGTGCATGCTAACTACAATACAAGCTCATGGTCATACAAGTTTTACTAATATTGGGATCCTGTTGTGCACGTGCATGATACTACTGTTGTAGTATAACTGGTACTTGTAGAAAATACTGTAGTATAAAATAGATTGCAAGACATCTTGTAATAAGTAAATTAGTGTTTCTATTCGGCAGACCTGGTTTCAGCACGTCCATTATTACCGATTACTTATGATCGTATAACCCCCACCGCCCTGAAGCCTCCGCACCCCCTGCACTCCACTATGGGTCCATCCCCTTTTAAGGGTAAAATGTACTTTTTGTGTCAAATCAAAACTAAATCAATATTAAATTCAAATTGTTATTTTAAAGACCTTAGAGCTACAAAATTACAGTAATATTCAAATCATATTTTTCCTGAATAAAATAGTATGCCTATACAGTGCAGTATGTGTAATTCGTATTTGAATTATCCAATGTAAATTTGATGGAATTCTTTTATCATGTTACTCCACTTAAGGAGTTTTTGCTGTGCGTTAAATCACATTTGCAAACGCCAAACTTGTGGCCGAAAATTTAATAAAGTATTATTTTTAACAAAAATAGTATTTGAATTTTTTTATTATTTAAAATTTCGACTAATCAAATTACTGTTATACTTTATACAGTACAGTATATCAATATTATAGTAATAGCCAATATTGAGATCTCCAAAACGATATTTTTTTTAAAATATATAAATCATGATATAAAAAATTATGCTATAAATATACTGTATATACATAAAATATATTTTATCTACTTATATATATATTGCCTATGCTCTGCAGCTAACTCTAATAACTTTAAATACTTAAATTAACCCACTTGTACAGAACCTCTAAATTTTTGTATGAAGGTGAATGTAAAATAATCAGAACATTATTTTTTTTTTACTAAACACTATCGCGTTTGTATCAAAAGCATGTGTTCTCTCCAGGGTTTTTTTTGTTTTGTTTTTGTTGTTCTTTTTCTTAATTATTCTATTAGGCAAGCTTTTTTTTATACCTTGTCTAGCCCACTAAAAACGGTTTCGAATAAAAATAAAATTTTTATTATGGCCAATTAGCGCATCTGCCGCCATGAAAAATGCAAATTTCAGAAAAAAACAAATGTTTTTCTTAATTTTTTATTACACCCGCCGCCGAAATCTCCAAAAATAAGACACAGTATGTATGTTTCTTCTTGATTATAAAAATTTAAAGCATTCAACGATTCCGCTACTATACTGCTTACATTCACCAACAATTTTTTTCCCGTCTGGATGTCTGTAGCAGAACCATTTGCTAAATATGAAAATAAATTTTATTATTTTTTCCACTCTCCTTCTACGATCTTTAAAAAACACAAGTTTGCGAAACAAGGTATAAAAAGTGTCTTGCCTTTACCGTACTGTACATTCAATCATGTTTTTATAATACAGTAGGAATTGACAGTATATAGGTAGTGAAATGCAATGTACTTTGCAAAACATCGAAAATTAAAAGCTTATACGAAAATATCAAACAACTTCACAATGAAACTGAGAAAGTTGGATGCTGTATTTATTGGTCATAACTTGACATTGGGAATGGTTAACACACAATATGAATTGCATCAAAATTAAAGTGCATTTCAAACGAGCAACATTAACATAACAAATTTGTGCCAGTCCGGGGGAAGGGGGTGGGGGAGGATTTCAATTTAATAACCAGTGTCTTTAGTGAGGTGCAATCCAATAGTTAACACCCCACTTATAGTTGTTTCACTCGACATAAATTATAAATTTATCCATCATTTTTCTATATTCGATCAAGTACGTATGCAATATATACATTCAAATACAGTATTGTTGAAAATATCTTCTTATTTACGACAGTTGCTGTCTAAATCAGGTTTATGCCACTGATGTTGCCTGTTGAGGTGGCCATCAACAACTTTTCGCAAATAGGATGATGACTAACAATGGACGGCTGTCAAATCTGGTTGACAATCAACAACTGCTTCCCCTAAAATCAGGATACCCCCAGTATTGGATAGCAGGGCAACTAACTGCTGCCAATCAAATAAGGTTGCTGCCAATCAAATAAGGTGATTATGAACATGTGATCAAAAATTTCTGCCAATCAGATCATGTGACCATTTACAATTGATGGCAGTCAAATAAGGTCACTAGCAACTGTTGCCACAACAACCAGATGAGACTCTTACGATTGTTTTACAAAGTGCCAACTACCACCATCAATACAGAATAACTTTATGTTATGTGCTTTGTTTACGCTGCTGATGTGGGCTAGCAAATTTCAACCACAATAGCAAAAATACTCAACCATAAACAATTGTTGGCCTTTGTATCTTGAAATATGCATGGCCACTATACAAGCCAAAACGAAACACATCATTTATGAAGATACTGTATTGATGGTGGAAATTTGTACATTTCTTTGTAAAACCACAGTTAGTTAGTTGTGTCAAATCTAGTTTTACTGCCAACGTATTTACCAATTTTTTTTTTTTTTAATGACCTTAAGAGGCTTGTTGGATCATATATCGCATTATTTACTTGAAACTTTCCCTGTCATGTTTTCATCAGAGGTCACCAAGGAAACATCTATATCAAAGGCAATTTTATCTAAGACACGGCAATCTACAAAACTAGTTTCAAAAAAAGAGACAACACATCTAAAATTTTACAAAATTCTTACAGAAAACTAAGTTGTCTTTTTTTTTTCTTATGACAAAAGTTGAGCCTGAAATTAATTCTACAGCATACTGTATATAGCATACAAATTGTTTACTGTCCATACATACATTAATATTTAGAATCTCAATGAGGTCTCCAAGAAATCATTTCCCACTACTTCTTCAGATAAAAAAGAATCACTAATGGAGAGCATTGCTCCCCAATGCAAATGGTCTAAATAGCAATATTACAATTAAAACATAAAAAAAGTGAAATAAAAAATAGTAAATCGATGGATAACTCAGAAACTCAATAAGTGACGATGAAAACTTAGTTATCACTTATAAAGTCTTGGGAACATTTTATTTTATAGACCAATATTAATGACCCCAACTCTGAAACTGTAGCTATACAATTGTGAGTGACTCTGCCTGGTTTGTTCTGGCACATCACAGTAGCTGGCAGTTCATTCAACATACTGAATATCATTAAGTGCTACCCATTCAAGATAATCAGAAGAAACTAAATTATTAAGAGAAGTTACTCGTCATCCCCAGGATCTTCCCCTTCTTCATCCTCTTCCTGCAAAATAGAAAGAAGTTACAATCATATACTTTCTTATACTATGTATACTAGTAAAAATGTATTAAAATCAGGTAGCTAAAGGCTAAAACTGATAGTAGAGTTGAACTTGCCTAAGTCGAATCCAAAATGGCATTGAAAAATTGTTGGACTTGAGAGAAAATTTGACTTACTAACTAATGGAAAACATAAGAATTTGGTATGTAAAAGGTCGACTTGGAAATTATTCGAGTTAGACAATGTTTAACTGCTATTACAAAACACATGTAAAGGCTAAAACCATAAAGTATTCCAATAAAAAACCAAAATAAACATTTACATTCTATGCCAAAATTCTACTAAAACTAGGCATAGCACTTCACATGTACACACAGTCTGCCGAAGGGCAATGTATGCAATAGCGATTTGTCCAAAAAGTGAAACATCTGAAATAATAAGCATGAAGTCTACCCTACTTTGAAAATTCGGTTAGGCATTAGGCAGCTAGCTGACTGGAGTGAATGAGAAATCAAGCTTCTCAAAAACAAACGAATGTCCAGGTTAGTTTTGTTGGTTATACTTAATACATATACTATCATTATGTATGAATATTGTAGTTAATTAATTAATTAATTATATTGCTGTTAATTACAGCAGGTTTTTTTTAACAGTTTACGGGTATTTGAAATTGCCATATCTCTGGATTGCGTGAACCGATTTTCAAAATTTTTGCAGATAAAGGATTCATAGATATCTATAATATAAATCATATATTGAGTTTGTGTGATATACTTCTATTTTTTTAGTACTATACCTACTAAAACCAGATGAAAAATAACACCTACCTCTTCCTCATCATCAACCTCATCTAGACCTTCCTCATCTTCCTCATCCAATCCCTCCTCATCATCAACATCATCATCTTCATCCTCATCAAATTCTGCAATATCCCCTAAGTCAGCAGCGTCTGCTTCACTATCACCATCTTCAGGCAATTCAGGCGCCTAAATTAGTAAAAGTTAGAAAGATAAATCGTTATAAGCATCCCTGTAAGTCATACATTTTTTTATATCACTATTAGTTATCCAATTCACAGCAAGCTGTTCATAAGAACAATGTACTGTATTTACAAGCAAGTCAGTAAGAGTAGTCACGAACACAAACAAAGCTACTAATTGCCTCAAATACAGTAATAGAGGCACTCTGAGCAGGGTTCTCACTAGCACATCACAATGTCTCAATGAAGGGAGTTCGTATTTAAAAGGCATTTACAGTTAAAAGTCCTGGATTTTAGAGCCATGTATTTCATGTTTCATTATGTTTCTGAAGTTCACAAAATCATTGAAAAAACATCGCCGATCAACAGCCTATCAGCACCGGTCAAACATTGAGTGACAGACAGGGCCGACCAGCGTGTGAGTATAAGCTATGTACAAGGCAACACAATGCACCATTCAGCTTAAACCAACTCCTTGAATATTGTTCCTAAGGTCTCACAATACGTAAACAAACGTGTGTTTGTGGGATGTAACTGTGTTGGGTCAGTTGTTATATTTTATGACATATGCTTTTTGAAACCTGAAATTCACTCGAGCTGGCAAGTAACTAGTTAGAAAAAAAAAATGTGTGCGAAAGCTTACCAAATAGTATTGAAGTGGATTTGGCCAAATATCGTCTTTGATGACCTCACCTAATTCATCTGCTCCAGCATCTGTATGATCGGTGAACCAACAAAAAAAACTCTCTGGTTCATCAGGCTCGCGCCGTCTTCCTTTTTGTTGAGGATTACTGCGTTCCGTCAGATCCTAAAAGAAAAATAACATGCTTGACAACCAGAAGTTCTGCATTCATTTACTCCAGAATAAGAAAAACGTTATGTTGCCCAAACACAGCATCATTTTGAAATAAGGGTCTTTATCGATATTTAGGCTTAATCCTAGGGTTCAAAGCCAACCATTTACCCCATAAATTTTGGCTGGTAACTGGTAATTTTGGTATTGGTAACCACCGGGCTAAAATACATGGTTTTGGTATCAAATTAAGTAAAGCTTGAAAGTGGCCTATTAAAAATATCATTCAACTGTTTAGTGCCCTTCTTGTTAATATATTTTTGTTTTAAAAAAAGGTGTTTTTTTGTTGGCCTTCTCAAGAAGATCAAATGGCTCTCCAGGGATTTAGACCTTTTTCTTAAATAAGTTAGAACACTGTGAAATAACGGTATGTATATGTAGGTTATGGAATACTAATACAAGTGTCTTTATAATTTATGCTTATGAATGCAAAAGTGATTTAATTGTGCATGTACTCCTTCATGTCTGCAAGTGAGTAGAACTTTGTAATCAACAATAACAAACAAGGTCTTATAATGCATTTCAAAAATTGATGTATAAATGGGGGGAAAATTCCTCACGGTCTGAATTGAATTTTCCTACAGGTTTGGTGTATGCTTACCTTATCTGGCTTCCACCTAATGGGCGTTGACTTTGAAGTTGGATCTCCTGTTTCTGTTAGATGAAATTCTTTACTGATAACCTCATTTTCAAAGTATGGATTGGAAGAAAAATTCTATAAAGAAAAAGATTTGGTTATAAAGCTTGAGTTTCAACCACTTAACAAACTAAACATGATATGTATTATCAGGAAAAACTATCGACAAAAGCTTCTAGTATCCAGGTTTACAAGAATGGTTTAAAACAGTCAAAGGGGAATAAAACTACACTTGTTGAATGAAATATTTTCAACCTGAAATATTATAAAAAAATTTTCAAGTTGACAATGTGTAACTTTCTTTGACTAAGACAATATGCGAAGTGCAAATAGAACAAATATATAAATAATGTGCAATTGATGCATAAATACATTTATGAATTCACCAATATCCAAATCTGGATTTCACTACATAGATTTTTAGTCATGGGGCTCTTAAGAACAAAGGGACTGAAGACAGTAAAAGTCTTCCTTTTCGGCAATCTCGACACACTATGTAGACCAAAGGTTGTATCTCTGTAAATTTGTGTATAAAAAAATACACAGTAATATCTAATTACAGTAAAATTACCATGTTATAGTATAATTGCGATGTATGCAATGTTTGTATTTTTTCCAGCTTGTAAAACAATTTTATACGACTGTATCCTAATAAACACAGTATTATTTGTAAACTGAAAGCAACAATATAAACTTACAAAGTTGATTCGGTAACCTGACTTGATGTCTTCAAATTCTTGCACCTCCACTTTTGTCAGATAATGTAACGCTTCTTCATCTTCCTCATCAAGCAAAGCAGAAACTTGTGGATGGTTTACAAACTTAACAAATACTATAAGGAAACTACAATGTGCAAACATTCTTCTAAATTTAATACTTAATATCTTGCCACAATTATACTACTTTTATTGATAACTCGGTACAAATATTTATGTACGTATTGTATAATATACCAGTATGTATTATTTATGCTTATTACTATCTAAACCATAGGTGGGCAAAATGCAGCCCGATAACAATTTTCTTGTGGCCTGCATAAATAAATTAAAAACACTGTGTGGCATGCATACCATCTTTGGCTAGAAAGGCCTGATGCCTAATATCTGTGAAAAGTAATGAAAAGTTTATTCAAGTTTTTGCAACCACTTGGAAATCTTAAATTTTCATAAGTTTGCTTACAGCCCATGGTGTTAAAACAAAAATTAAGTTTGGCCTACAACCCATTTTTATGCCCACCCTTGACTTAAAACCTAAATGAACTAGCTTTTATACATTGTTTATAGTTATGTACATAGGCTCAATTACTGGATTAGATTACAGAAACCCTCATCAGGAGCAGAACATTAATTTCACTGAGTGTTATAAAGTGTGAATGTATTATATATTTATCTTCAAAGTGCTGTTCTTTTTATCTTTATTGCAGTATTAAGAAACTCTGCTACATTTATACTTAAAGCTCAGGAAGCTGGGAGCCTTGATCCTGCAGTTTGTACGCTGCTGTATAATGAACTAATTGCTGAAATAGAATAGAGTACCACTACAGCTGTAGCTAGCTTGGTGATTAGGATGCTGCCTTCCAATCCCAGGGTTCAAATTCTGTTAAAACAGGAAAACAACTCAACTCCAGATACTTTATACAGCATTGTTTCATCCTGTAATTGGCTGCTGGATGTGAGGAAAATAAATACTGTCAATATTTAAAACTGGGACATCAATCATTTGTAAAAGATATGAAAGGATACAGATGTAACCCAGAAATTTGGGATTTTACTGATCAGCTTCGCTCGCTTTTCAAAATGAGGCTGTCTGAGCTTGTTGTATTTTTGCTCAACATGCAGTATTTCTTCACTGGCTCTTTCATTCAAACCATCAATAGTGTTTTGAACATTGTCAATCTCTTCTATAGCTCTTTGTTGTTCATCATCTATATAATTAAAAAAAATTGATGCATTAAATTTTTTAAATTGTACATGTCACAAAAAATACAATCTAACTAAAATACAGGCAAGGTAGTCTCTAGCCTAGGCCTAGTTAGTGTAATTTCCTTATGATGAGGTAGAACCAGCAGGCATGCTTGTTGGCTAGCCAAGATTAGGCCTAGCCTTGAGCAAGAGGCTAGGCCTGGAGTATAAGAGTAGGCTAGGCTCAGCTAACTAGCTAGGCCTACCTAAACTAAAACGACAGACCAAGTGCATGCCACCAGGCTGGTAAATCATTAAAAAAATGAATGAATGATACGATTGAAGGTTTTCAGATATTCTTTAAATATTTTAATACTACAACAGAATAATAAAAATGAGTGTTGTGTTGTATATTGGAAGCTAGGCACAAGTGGCCGATTTCATTTCTACCGCTGAAGCGGCCAGTCAGGGCACCCGCCAACCAACAAAGCATGTGTACGCCAGTGTAATGTTTGAACCACCACCGCACTCACTGCTGTCGTGTTGAACAAAGAGATTTCAATGGTAAATATATAGAAGTAAAACTAAAAACCATTTTATATGGTAAATATAAAATTTACTATTTTGTAACCTCTTTACCTGCAGCATCATCGGCATCTTGGCCGTTATTTGTTGGTTCTTCCTTCCTTATTTTGGCTGGAGGAGGAGACGACATTTTTGATTTTCACGAGGTAAGCCACGCATGCGTAGTAATTGACTTTTGGCACAAAGGGTCATAGTTTAATTCTGATAAAGCAAGTAAAATTAAAACATTTTTTTAAAATTAGCCAAATATTAGTAAATCTTTAGTAGACAAATTATAGTTAATAACAAATATAAAAAATATAGAATGTAAATTATTCTAAAAAGATAGACATATCTGTAGCTTAACAAATTTTAAGCAAAATATTGTTGCTCCCAAAGCGGTTTATTTTGTTTTATCCAGCAGCACAAGGAAGCATTAATACAAAAGTCGCGGGGAAATCTGTCCGAAGTATGAAGTCTCCATGGTTTGTATGCATCGCATGGAACGTCAAACGGGCAAACCAAATACGCTTTTGTCTGATTATAAACAAACCTCTACTCAGTGAAATAGAAACAAGAGTGAACACTGACTTACGGTCAACCACTATTAAAAAGAGACGTTTAAAATGGATGGGGTCATTTTGTGCGATTACATAAAGAATTACCAGCGAGAATAGCTTTTGCACGATTGTGTGGAACGCCATAAAGAAGGACAGCACACTCGACCTATTTTCTAATGACTCCCAAGCTACTCAAAATATAATAGAAAGGAGAATAGAGGACGTTTACTGTTTATACCCTCTAAAATTTGGCATACACTGCCATCTTATAATTATAAAAAACTTTTATCTAGCCAAGTATGGGGTGCCATACGCAGCAAAAGTCAATGTTAAAATCAAAATGTAATTGCAATTAAAATTCAATGCCGTGAACAACGCTTCCCAGTACGTCTGCTAATTTTTAATGGTCAGGGTACCTCGATCACGAGCCCTATGCTAGGCATTATAAGCAATGTGGGTTGGGATTTGCAACAGGGTCTTGGACTAGGCCTCTATACTATAGTAGGAGGCCTGGTCCTAGTCTAGGCCTATAATATACGGTAGTAAAATTCTGTATAAGTACCGTAGACATATGATTACAGGTTTACATTGTACCAAGATCGATATTAACGATCGCATTTATTTTTCATTGAAAATAAAAAGAAAACTTTAAATAATTTAACTTAAGGATTTTAAAATATTCCAAACCTGTACGCT